ATGTGCCGCCGGCAACTTCAGCAGATGATACGGTGGCTGGTAAGGGTCACCGCGCCTACACCGCAGCCACGGTAAACCACCGAGATAATATAGTTTTTTAAAAACAAGACATTATTATTATTGTCAACTTTTTTACCGGGGTTTACCGCTACACCGGTTACCGTGACAACTCGGCCCCCGTCTCCTACTCATGAACGTTACTGAGTGAACGACAACAGACCACCACAGCCATGAATAATATCAGCTGCACCACAAAGTGGAGTTGTCATGATTCTGCTCAGATGAATCTTCAAAAACGTTCTAATTTGCAAGAAAAACAAAATAATCCTTAAAGCTGCTCTGTTTTAATCGTGCAGAAAAAGCTCGAGCAGAAGCAGTGTGTGTGCGGGTTGTTTACTATAACGTATAAACGGGCGGTACCTAAGAATAGCTTGTTTGTGTCTGCAGACACGTGTCTGCATGCTGCATCTCATTCACACAGCTTCTCCCATTTATTGATTCTTCCATGAATCAAGCTGTGTCTGCCTGCTGAGCTTCTCTCTTCTTTAATAGTCTCTTTTTTGCTCTGGTCCTTCCTCTTTCTTCACCCACCCTCCACCCACTCCGCCAGTCAGGAGCGTGCTGGCTCAGGAAGAAGGCCAGCTGACTCTGGTTTGTTTTCTTTCTACGCTGTCCTGTCGTCCAATCAGAGCGGCGGCTTTCAGCCACCGCCCCCAAAGCTATATCAAAACATTGGTGTGTGTGTGTGTGCGTGCGTGCGTGCGTGTGTTGTTGATGGCAAAATGCCAGTGGGGTTTGCCCTGAGAGGGTGGAGCAACAAAGGGGAGGAAGAAATGTGACAATGAAGAAGAGGGAGGTGGAATTAAAAGAATGACTTGTGATTAGAGGGTGAGACTTTACGTGGGGTTTCCAAACAAACCTCTCCGTTTACTGGTTTGACTGTTTTTTTGCCAGAAATATTTTAATCATGCATCACTTTTCCTAACTAATCCTGATATTATCCATCAAGCCTTTCAATACGCAAATAGTCTGGTTTCTGGAGCAGCTGTTTTCTTCCACTTTAAAATCAATTTCAACTAAAATAAAAAAGTTGGATAAAAAGGATTTTGTTTTGGGGATTACTACTCGGGTCTTAAGAAGACAATCTAAACCACACACCTGCCTGAAGTGTTCACAATGGGTGTGTTTTGAGTTTCAGCCACTTGAATTTCATGCTTTGAGTTTGTTTTTATGAAAGGAATTTCCAAATTTCAGCCAAAAGTTGTAATTCACCAGTTTTACAAGATTTCTTACAGAACAAAATCCAAATAAAATCTTAAATATCTTAAATGATGTTCAGACTTTGTAATGAACTTTTAGGATTTCCCCTGATGAAGTCTGTATGTGTAGGAATCTTAGCTATTGTGGCTTCTGGTTTTTCCACAATTTAATGGAAACTTTTCATAAATCAGCTTGACTGCAGCCGCCCCGCGAGCTCACAGCTGATGTCAGACTCCAGGAATGCTGCTTTTGTGATTATTTGAACTTTTCTGAACTTTCTTGTTTTTATCTGTTGACAAGCAGCTGCAGCAAGGGCTCACGAGCCTTCACTAAACCAGATCCCGCTGGAATCATACGGTTTTTAAACCGCAGAGATTTTAGGATTTTCACAAGTTCTTGGTAGTTTAACATGAAATGTTTCAAATGTAGAAAAAAAAAGCTTATTATTACAAGAGACACTTTGTGTTAACAGAACCATTTCAGTTACAAACACAGACCCAGCTAAACAACTCACCTATGGGGGAGGATGTTGTTAAAAACTGACAAATATATTTTACAGGAAGTGAAAAAACATGAAATTTTCTCTAAAAGAGCAGGTTAATTCCTGCGGACCCCCGTGCTGTACAGCTGCTATAAACATGTTTACAGCCGGGTGTTGGTCTCTTTGTGCAGCTTTAATAGGTGAGCGGAGGCTGCAGGCTAATGGTCACGGTTAGTGTGATGTGTTGTTGGTCACATCTGCCTCCAACACGTCACTGACCAAAGATGGTGACCTCGTCCTCCCGCCGTCAGAGCAAGGGGCGTCATTTCATCTACGTTTAGATTTTCAATGGTTGTAATTCTGTCAGAATATTTAAACATTTAATAATGAATTAATTTAGTTTTAAATAATAACAAAGGTTGCAACCATTGCCCGTATCAGAGTAGTTCTTTCTCAGTTATATATATATATATATATATATATTTTTTTTTTTTAGGTTTTATTGCCTGAGTTAGTCCTCACACACTTGGAGAACCATCCTGATTTTTCCAGCACCACATTACGTGGCCCCCCTCCCCCTCTGTTGTGCTCAACGTATGCATGCACGCTGTTACTGGCTAGCTGAGTCCGTGCCCTCTCCCCCACTTCTCCAAGGGGAGGAAGGGAGGGAGAGGAGCTGGTGCTACTGCTACGTGAACACACACCAGCCAAAGTGCAACAATTGTGATTTAATGCTCAGAATTTATTCATTTTTGCTTAGTTTTGTGCTGGTGGAGTAAAAAAAAAACTGACCAAAATGACCTTTTATTGTAGTGAAATTATGCATCTAAACAGGATTGTGTTTTTTTTTCTATTCACCATTTTTAAACCCTAATCCAACCAAAGTCTTATCTGGTGTAATAAATGACATAAACACTCATTGTGCTACTGAAACCACTGATTTACTTGATGGTTCTCTAAGTCTGTGCTGTTTCTGGTTTACAGATGGAAAGACAACCTGCTATTCGTCTTAATCCCAGCATTAATTCTTATAGAAATGCAGTATTTATATACAGGTTTTCCTAAAAACACTTTAAAGCTGCAGTAACGTCTTAAAACACAGTTCAGAGTCTGATTAGGTGGCTGAGTTCAAGCGAATAACAATCAGAATGGAGCTGTGGAATAAAAGCAGAATGAGAAACATCCAGTGTGCTAATGAAATGCAATAACTCACACACACACACACACACACACACACACACACACACACGCGCACACGCACACACTGATGGTGTTTGAGCTGCATGTAGTTTATAAATCTCCCTGAATGTAAAGTGTTCTTTAAGAAAGTTTGCTAATCATAGCTCGCACGTATCATTTTAATTTCTCTGAACATTTTGGTAATCTTCTTGTTTTCAGCCTGAAAAAAAAAAAAAAAAAAAACTGACATTTGCAGGCGGAGAGAAAACAGGAGACCTGCGCGAAGACACGAGAGCAGCCTGTATCCTGTGCAAGTCAATAATATTGACCCAAGCTCCAAAGATGCATGTGTATTATGTAATCTACAACTTCACGAGGGTGTGTGTTTCACGTCAGGGTGCGCCGGGCTGCTGACGACACCTCAGCAGATGTAAATATCAAAGAAGCGGTGTCAGAAGACCTGAAGCTTCTGTGGGCCTTCTGATGCTTTCACACAGTAACTTTAAATAATGATGCTTGAACCACAGATTTAACACGGCAGAGGATTTCATTTTAGATGCAGAAACCTGAAATAGACCAGAACCTGAAATTAACAGTAATAAATGGACATGAAATGCTTTTTATTCCCACAACGATAAGAATAATAGAATAAATCACAATCAAGTGTTCACATCTTTATTTAATTAACTGATCTCAGACGTGCAGCTCGTATGAATCAGTCCCATCAGAATCCATTTTATCTTCATGCACCTTCGTCCCATTGTGTCCCCGAGCCTCGTGTCCATCATTGTCTTCAGCGTTTCTTCCCTTTGTCGTGTCTCTGGAATTCTGGAGTTTTCTGTGGGGGAGGGAAGGGACAGGAAGGCCCCGGGTGAGTGACAGGATGGTGCAGAGACTAGCTGGATCCAGAACTCAGCAGAAAGAACGACGCTGTAAAAAAAGAAAAAGAGGAGGTTAAGCTGGAGTCAGAACGGAGGAGGAGGAAGTGAAATAAAGGGGGAGGTGTGTCTCTGTGTGTGTGTGACTCATTAGATTAGGCTGCTCCCCAAGGGAACCGCCAATATTGATGGATTGATTGCAGGCCCCTCTTCGTCCACTCTGTCCTCCTGCTATTGGATGCCATTGATGTGGTGTCTCTTTAGGTGCATATTTAATTAACTTTCCATTACAACCAATCACCTATCAGACCTGGAGTTACAGGAGAAGCTTCATTTTTACTCTTTATTTGTATGCTTCTAGAGGGTAGGTGTGTGTGTAGGGGTGATTCTGATCTCGTAAGGCCTCTGCTTTTATTTGTTTCCATATTTCTGATAATTTAAGCTGTCTAAACTGAAATTCAGCAAAATTTCTAACTAGGAAGAAGAAACCATTTATTTATATAGAGCCTCAAGAAAAACATTTAGAGACGCTTCACAAACAAAAAATAAAATGAATTAAAAATATCGAAATGAAAACTCGGGGAAAAAGGAAAAATTAAACATGTGAAGGAGGGGAAAAAGTGAAAAAGAAAAGGTAATCCCAGGATCCCGAGAAAGACAGAATTGGTAGAAACGGTAGCATGAAGAGATGGTGGTGAGGAAGAATTAACAGAAACAAAATAAATGAAAATTAAAGTTATTTCACTTCAGTTTTAGTAAAGCTGATTTTTAAATATTGAAATCCTTTTTCAACACCTGTCCTCAAATGTCGGGGCTGTCCAGAGCGGATATTGATCTGGTTTTGCTTTCCTTTAGTTCCTGTTTTCCTCCTCTGGCTCTGTTTTGAAAGAGAAAAGCTCTCTGGGGTGTCGAGAATGTGAGCCTTCCTGGTAACAACATGCATATGGATGATCGGCTCGGCATCCACGGCCTACTCCCTCTTTAATTAGCTGTGTGTTTGTGGCCGTGATGACACCGTGATGGTGCTGCCAGGCTGATCTTATTCACACGCATCATTAAAGCACAACTCTAACAATGGAGGCTTTTCATTGATGATTTGGCTCAATTTAGCCTCTTTCTCTCAGCGTTAGATGGCAAATGTACATATTTGACGACTTGGGTTGTTCCAAACAAACTAAATGTGTGTTTTGTGTTCCTCTAAGGTGTTCCTGTTCTTCTGTGAAACCTGCTCAGTGCCCATCTGTAGGGAGTGCAGCGTGGGCCGCCACATGGGCCACACGTTTGTGTACCTGCAGGACGCCGTGCAGGACTGCCGCGCCATCACTATCCAGCTGTTGGCTGATGCTCAGCAGGGACGACAGGCTGTCCAGGTGAGAGCAGTAAAGCTGGACCTGTCCTTATAAGGATGAAAGCAGACTCACCCTCACCCGTCTCCTAGGTAGAAACAGCAGCTGTGTCTTTAGAAAAGGCTCCCAGCAGCAGCAGAGTGACCAGCGATTAGAGCCAATCAGCTTCGAGCTGTCTGAGAGTGACCAGCCCCACGCTGCTGGGAAGCCCGGGGTTAAAGGTGCTCCAGCTGGCCCCTAAAAAGGGGGGTGTGTCGCATGAGTTGAATTCCGGCGGGGGCAGGGCTCAGGGTCAAAGGGGAGGAGGAGTCTAGGGGAGGGTGGGGGAGGGGAGGTGAGGTATTTAAAGGATTTCGGAGAAAGGAGAAATACGCTCTTCTAAAGAAGTGGAAGGCCCTTCGACTTCTCATTTATTCGCTCACACCCCCAGCTCCTAGTGGACCTCACACCATACAACACCCCCCTCATTTACATAAGGGCCTCCAGCCTTCCTCACATTTAGCTTTTATCAACAAATACGTGTTTAAGGAGCAGAAGCATCAGAACTGTCTCAAAAAAAGCTCCACGTGGGCTTGCTTTGGTAAATAAAATAAGTATTTTTAATCATGCCACATTTATACTACATATATAAAATTTATTTAAGTCCATTTGGACTCATTTAAAACAAATGTTGATTTAAAAAATCCATCTGAATGTTTAGGCTAAAGTTTAGACCAGGGGTGTCAAACATGCGGCCTGCGGGCCGGATCCGGCCTGCAAGCGGGTTAAATCCAGCCCGCGAGATGGTTGTGTAAACTTTATTTTCATACTTTACAATGTAGAGTGAAAATAAACGTATCTTTGTGAGCAAGTTTTCTCTGTAATGAGTATAAATAAAACAAAGCTGCGCTCTAAGGCTCACACAAGAACTTGAATCACATCCTGAAGTTGGCCGCCACTCAGGATGTGACTTCTGATATTGATGTGCTGGTGAAAGCTAAAAGATGTAAAGTAAAATGAGTCAAATATACTTTAAGTGCTGCATGAAACTGATCTTGCCATGTGATCTGTAAGCTCTTTGAATCACTAAGGAATGTTTTTTTTTATTTGTTGATTTTTATTTTTTTTCTTTATTTATTTTTATTTTTTTTTTTTCAAATTTTCAAGTACACTTCAGGTGTTGTACTTGTACTACACTGTCCTCAGGCTCCAGCCTCGTTTTATATTGATCAGGGATTTGTATTTTTGAAATTCTGGCGATACGATACATGTCACAATACAGGGGAGACGATACGATATATCGATACATTCAGTCAGACGTTACAAGCAATTTTTTTACTGAATTTATTGTAAGAATGTTCAATAAACAGTCCAAACTGATACGTAGCATGTTTAACATGAGGTATCTGAACCATGATGGAGGGATTTACATTTCAATGGTGGAAACAAAACCCGTTGCACACTGCTGCCAACTAGCGGGTGGTGATTGAATTGCACAAAACGAAAAGAAAATACACAAAAGTTTGCATGTAAATTCTTTCAAGAATTAGATACACGGCTTTTGAATATCAATGTAATAATCGCAGGAAAAAATATCATGATATATTGCCATATCGATATTTCCGATACACAGCTTTTGAATATCGATATAGTATTGTTGGATAAAATGTCACGATATATTGCCATATTGATATTTTCTTACATCCCTAATATTGATTGTATTTTAAACAAAGAAAACAATCTGAAGTATTTAATTAATTTACCGGTCCGGCCCACTTGGGACTAGATTTCCTTCAATGTGGCCCCTGAGCTAAAATGAGTTTGACACCCCTGGTTTAGACGTTTTAATTACCGAATGTGTTTAAATTTCAAATTCGGCCCAAAAACCTAACAGACTCGTGTGTGTGTGTGTGTGTGTGTGTGTGTGTGTGTGTGTGTGTGTGTGTGTGTGTGTGTGTGTGTGTGTGTGTGTGTGTGTGTGTGTGCGCGCGCGTGTGATTTTTGCCTTTATTAGTTTTAGTTCATGAAGATTTCTCAAAGAAATAAAAAGAAGCATAAAATTAGACGCGTTCGCTGATTATTTTCTAGTTTTTACTCCTTATTGTGTTTTGATGCCACAAACTGTTCATTTTTAGGCATAAACATCATTTCTTTTACATGTTTAAACATGTTGGTACATCATTCACACAGGTATGAACAGACTAACTGTTTAAATGAATAACTAACTTGTTTGTTTATGACCTCCGGAGCCACAGAAGCAGCATTTTTCTCAACATTCTTTTGTGCTACGAAGCTGAAGCCCAGCATCAAACTGGAGTTTGGTTTTAGTTATCAGGGATCGTCCCGGCTCACTGCTCTTATCTCATTTGCCCGGAAGGTGGGGCAGAGTTGTGACCTTGGTAAATACTTGCCCAAAACATGAAACTAGAGCCGTTTCGCTGGGATCATGTGACGCTCTGGCATGTACCATCTCCTTCACGAGGCATGCGCCCCACCTATCCATTTCTTTTCTTGACCTTTGTCTGGCCAGGGCAGACTTTCTATCCTAATGGCTGATTACTTATGTCACTCCTGCTTGAAAATTCCAAGATATCCCAACACGGATGCTTCGGGACATACGTGAGGTGAGTTTCCACCAGCTTATATTTTATTAAAGGAAAAGCTCCAGGATGAGGCTCAAATACGCCGCCCGCCATCTGGCTGCAGCCCGTGCCGTTTGGCGTGTTTGTCCACTTTTGTCCAGGTCACAGCAGGAGTAAATGCTGACGCCAGATAATATGTAAACACACACGCTCCTGTCCCCTGAGGTAGGAAATTTCCGTCCACTCTACACCCATTATCTCAGCTGACCCCTCACCCTGGACTTGTGACCTCCTGGTTGGTCAAACCTCTTGGCTTCTGCGTTTTGATTGGCTCCTTCCACCGTCTTTGTGCTCCGAGCTGTGCTCCTCTGGGAGCATGGAGAGAAATGCGGAAAGTGATGGAGACGCAAAGATTGGGAGACGGATCATGAGAAGAAGACAGAAAAAGATGTGCAAGAAATTTAAACGAGAAGCTCATCTGGTGGAAAAGGGGAGGGATAAAGGTCCAGAAAGTCTGTTTTAAATGTCATGGTGGTTCCCCAAACTGGTGCAGGGCTCTCATGCTGCCATCTTCTCTCTGGAGGTCTTATTTAGCTCCTTTAGCAAGACCAAAGCTCTAAAAGGAGCCTGCTGCTGGCATTTGTTCCTGTTGGGCTGCAGTGGGGGTGGGCCACATGCGTCTTAGGACGGGATTGCGACTCACGACCTGTAGAGGTTTAGGCGACCTTTGATCTTTGTGGCAGATATCACAAAGGAAGCTTTATCCCACCTCCCCTTCATGCCTGTGAGGTCCAGCTCACCCTGTGACCTCCCAGAAACCCCCAGAAGAAAACCCTGATAAAACTTGGTGGGTCAGAGGAACACAAAGAGAGAAATGCTCATTCAGACCAAATTGTGGGTTGTAAATGCTTGGACCTTTTATTTTGATCACTGGCTTTTTTATGGCTTCAGGTAGTAATAAAAATGGTCTCCTGTTGACATTGTGTGCACTAGAGTCGTCTAAAAATCTAAATCAAAAATCTGTCAACATCAAACCAACTCGTCCTTGTTTTTAGTTGTAGGATTGTTTTAAAATTACTTTAAACTACAACACACATAAAGATTCCTGCACTGGGATTTACGACTTAAAGAAGCTTTTAAATTCTGCAGGAAGTGTATTATGTTGTCCTCTACGAGGAGACTTCCTAATCCTGACCCATTTCCTGTTTCACTCTGATGTAAGCTCCCAAAACGGAAAAGACCAAAAACAACAAGCAGGTGTCTGTTAGCCAGGACTCTTATAAATGTCATTCCTGGAGCTAATTACTGTTTTTATTTGTGCACTTTTATCAGTTATTACTTTTCCTCGACTTTTCTAAGTGTGCACGATTCCCATGTGTTTCCAGCTGAGCATGGAGAAGGTCCAGGCCATGGCAGAGCAGGTGGAAATCAAGGCCAAGGTGGTGCAGTCTGAAGTGAAGGCACTTGTTCTGAGACACAAGAAAGCCCTGGAGGAGAGGGAGTGTGAACTTCTGTGGAAGGTGAGCTGCTACCTTGGTATTCATCAATGAGCGGTGTTGGTTTTCACGTGGGTTTGTTTCTTTTTATCTGAAGTTTTCAGCTTGGCTGGACTAGCAACGTCGGGCTCTGGTTTTGTTTTTTCCGTTTATGGAATACCTTCAATGCACACATTCTGCCGCTGTTTCTCTCCAGTATCAGCTGATGGAGGGCTCTAGTTTTGTTGCGCCGTTGGTGTCAGCGGACATGGTAGGGGAGGGGGGAGGGGCATGACGTTTAGCCTGGCGGGTGGCACTGGGGGGAAACCCTGATTGTGTATTTTTTAAAAATGACCAAAATTTTCAGTAAATCTGTGATCATGTGAGAGATCGTTGTTTTGTGAACTACTGTTCAGCTGTTGGCTGTTTGGTGCAACAAGAACAATAGTCCCTGCCCTGATTAGTTAGAGCTACATGTGTAAGAATAGGTGGGCGACAATATTGACTTTAGACCTAATGATGGATTGTGGACTAGACTTGTTCTGGACAACCCTTTTTATTGGATCCTCGTGGACGGTCAATACATCTGTCCTTTCTCGCCTTTTTAGACAATATAGTTCATTTTGGATAAAGTAATGGCTTTGTATGTATGCATCTTTTACTACTTTTCATTTAATCTAACGTAAAAATTACAGTTTGGTTCTATGTAGAAGATGTGTTTGTGGAAGGTGTGTGCTTGATTAAACTCCATAGGAGAGTTGGTAAACATTTCTTCCGCTCTTCCTCCATATCTAGAGCTTAACACGTGTCCTTTGACTCCACGAGATTGCCCCTGAAGCAGCTTCTAGGCTCTCGAATGTCCGTGCAAAGCGTTCTCATTAAAACGTTGGTAGATAATCTTGGAGGATGTTATTCAGGAGACACTAAAGGAAATCATAAAGTTTTTCTCTATCTTTATCTTTACTCTTTATCTTGGTGTCTTGAAAATCCTTCCTATAGAGCGCTGGACGTCAGGTGGTTCTCAAATAGTAGGCGCCATGTTGGCAGGCAACAAAGGTAAACAAAATGAACGTGATGGGCTTGGATTTTACTCCGTCGGAGTTTACACTTTAAAACCAAAGAAATCGTTTTATTGTTTTATATAGTCAGAAATTAAATAGACTAAACATCTCCGACACTTACCGTGCCCTTGGGATACTTTTTAAAAAACGCCAGAAGCTGTCGGAGTGGACCTCTTTCCGGATTTGAGATGCCCTGACATTTATAATTTATAAAACTAATTAAACAAAAACACAAATAACAGATTTGCACATAAGTAGTTTAAATAGAGTGCTGTGCTGTTTGAATGTATAAACTGAACGCCAAGAGAAATCACTAGTCTGATTTTTTTCCGTGAATAAAATAAATATGTCAGGCAGGAGCGTCTCAGGATCCGTCTGAGATCTGTCTCGGTGAGACAGATAATAGCAATCCAAAGTGCTTTTTATGTGTGATCTGACAATTGATCAACCACTGCTTAAAAATGAAATACAGCTTAGCCGGTTAATTGCTGTGATCATAAAACACGTAAACGGCAGCACGCAGAACTCACGAGGCAACGTTTTACGTGACGTTTACTTGTTGCTGTGAGTAATAAGACAGAAAAAGCCACGCCAAAATAAGTTTAGGAAGCCCACTAAGAATTGTAATAAAAGTATTTAAAATAAATACCATACACAGTTGAGGAAACATTGGTTTAAGTACCTGATATGAAGTGGTCGCTGCATAAGCAAAAACCTTTACTCTCGGGATCCCACAGCTTCATTTTCGCCCGGGCACTAGCTCGTTTTATTATAATGATCCAACGTTTGCGGCGCTCCGGATCTTGGGGAATCCTGTAGATGGCTCTTCCCTAATCTCGTCCACGTCTGTTCTGCATCGTGGGGACAACAGGAATCTACCATTCCATCTTTCAGTTCTTTTTATTTACCTGCAACGCAGCAGGTAAATAAAACCGTTCTGTGTTTTAAAAAGAACTGAAAGATGGAATTAGAATTTCAACACCGCAAGAACACACCAAAGATGTTTAAGGAATCTACCATATTTCCCATTTGAGTTTTCTGACAATAACAAATAGCCTATCTGTGAGCTACTGCCTGCCAAGATGGCGCAGTTTCGATTTGAACTGTTGCATGCCGGGAGAAGTGACGTCAGCTCCCGGAGCTCTATTCTGAAATCCTCTCTCATGGTCACGGTCTCTTACTTTAGCCAGTGTTGCGCCCTCTTCAGGTAAAAACTCTGCACTGCATTTGCATTTAAATCTGCCATTTCTATAAGCTAAGAGGTACACTATGATGTTAGCTGGTACATCATGATGTCACAATGTCAATGCAGAATTCTTATCTGAAGAGGGCGCAACACCGACAGTTTTAGGTAGAATATGTAAATTTTAACAAAGACGCACTAAAGTGCCAAATTATTGACTACATATGTCTACAGCACGATGAGACATTCATTTATATGGTTTATCGGCAAAAAAAAGTTGATTTGGGGGTGACTTGCTCTTTAAGGAGTTGTCTGTAGTTGGAGTTACTGAGCAACGGGCGTCCTTAACAAAAATGATAGAAATGCGTTGACGGGCTAGTATGTAAACAGCTTTATTTATAATATCTTTGCTTCCAAGCAGGTTTTACAGCTTGTATTTAGTTTGACTTGATATGTGGACATGGTGATTAAAATTAAAGCAAGTTTTTGAAAATATATTCTTTCATTAATTATTTATGTTTAAGAAAGAAAAGGGAAATGAAGTCTAAAAAAATCAAAAATGGGATTTAGAGTAAAATTATTTTTAAAGTGATATTCCACCCAAAAAGAGAATTAGTCTGACATATTTTCCACCATTAGATATGTGGAAAACCCCATTTTTAACCAGCTCAGTTATTCTCCTGATCCGGCTGTACTCCTTTCACCTTAGCCTAGCATAAAAACACAGTAAGTGAATGGATCCAAATAGCATTGTGAGTAAAAAAGTTCTGAAAATCCCTCAGTGATCCAAAGTCAGCTTGGTGACCCAAATAATCAGACTGAGTGCAAGTGAAAATAAATAGTAACATCCAGGAATCGTAGGTGCCATTTTAGACTAGGGACTACTTTACAATGAAGCACAGCTGTATACCTCCGCTGGCAGCACCAAAGACACCTGCTTCTGTAAACACAGGTGTACACGTTAGCTAACCAGAAAAAAGGTGCACGTGCGCACGCACACACACACACACACACACACACACACACACACACACACACACACACACACACACACACACACACACACACACACACACACATACACACATACACACATACACACACACACACACACACACACACACACACACACACACACACGTAAGGCTGCGTTTCCCAGCTTTAGTATTAGTAGTAATTTATTACCTTTGGGCCTAAAAATAAAAGCACACAAATGTACCATTTAATTACCCATAATGCCATGCTGAAATCCCTCTACCATTCTGGAGCCTGAGTAGAGGAGAGTAGCTAAACGTGTGAGTTCACACCTGGCATTAAAATGCTTTCTGCTGTGTGTTAAGTGACCAGGTGGGATTACGTCTCACCTATCTGCTCTAGAAGCATGCAGAGATCTTCAGATCGTAGGACATCAGCTGTGCTTCCAGTGACTGCTGTTCATATAAAACCAGAATGAACATGGATATTAGTTTGCAGAGAATGATGTTGATGATTTTCCTGAGCTGCTTTTATTTGTCTCCGCTCGTTTTACCAGCAATAAAAACTGTACGTGATGTTGCCGTTTTAGCACCAGCACATATCTGCTTTCTTAAAGTGAAGCTTTGAATCTCTAGCAGTGAGATATATAAGTGTTGTTATTCATGCAATAGCTGTAGTCATCGGGTCACATCTAATGAGCTTTAGGTCCTCTGCATCCAACCCGTTTGTCTTCTATTGCATCACAGCTCGGCTCTTCTTGAAAACTCCCAGCCGTCCTTCTGGAAAGTTCTCCAATGAGCTCAGTGTTTGTCAGGAGACAGAAAGATGCCACCCAAACAAAGTTAGTGAGCATTTAGAGATGGAAGATTATTAAAATGTGTTTCTGAAGGAAAACTACTGGGTTTACCATCTAGGAGTAGAGCCCTGCACTGAAGCCCTAGGCCCTCTGGTCAGGCCGGGCTTCGGGCCGTCGGGCCGGGCTTCGGGCCAACGACTGTGTAATTACCTCGGACACGGGCCGGGCTGGGCGCGTTTATTTTTAATCGATTTCATAAAAAAGATTGAAACACTTAAACGCAGCAGTAGAGCCCTGAGCGGGACTGTTTTCTTCATCCCGCTCCTGCCCGCTCCCGCTGAATTTCTGACCATTACCGCCTGCAACTGCAGCGTGTGTGTTACACTCCCGCCCGCACCTGAAAAACTCTGAGAAATTATTACCTCACAATAAAAGAGATGTATTGAGTTTGTGTCCTCAACATGTTATTGTATAGGCTATACCAGGGGTCGGCAACCCGCGGCTCTTCCATCCATCTGATGCGGCTCTCTGTGCTTGTAAAATAATGAATGGATATTTAAATAAAATGCTTTATATTTTACTGCATTCATTTTATATTTGTAAGTCAATTCTATGTAAAGATTGTCTGCGTAAACCTGAACAGGCCCAACCCGGTCTTACTGTGAGACTGGGTTGATGGATCACGCGTAATCATAGGCGCTTCCTGAGCTGAAGATGTGAGATTCTGGGCTTCTCCTCAGACGGCTCCTGGATGCGTCGCCACATTGGAGACAGGAACAAGCGCTATTCAGCCAAAGTTTCATAATCGGGGAACATTTTCTAAGTGACAAGTCTCTCTGAGAGACCGGGTTTGGAAAACACTCGCTTCAGTGGGAGGAATCTTCCCGCATTTCGCTCTGGTTCTGCAACACGCTCCAAGCCAATCTCCACAACTTCAGCTCGCTGTGCGCATATGCGCTGACGGCGAGCTGCGCTGAGCAGTGTCCAGCTCAGATGTTCTGATGGGAATCTTTTCTTGAGTGATTTAGCT